TATTTATTTATTTATTTATTTATTTATTTATTTTTATGCTTTATGATGTTTTGAATATATTATTTTCTAAGATATTTAACTTTTAGAGAAATATCCCTTTTTAAAAGATTTTTTTAACTAAAATATGCTGGTTTGATTCTTAGAAGTGCTAATTCCCAATTGTTCATTTTTCTTCTTTTTTTTTCTTCCTAATTTAGCCTTTTCTAATGAGTCCTCTCAAATGTAACTATGGGATCGTTACATATTTTCACATTCCTTACTGTGTACATTGCACTGCAGCAACTCTGCTTCTTTTTCTTCTTTCAACTGCTCCTTTTAGTGGTCTCCAAAACAGAACATTTGCCCCCATCTCACCCTGTCTCTATGATCCTCATCTGTCCAACTAAACCTGTTCATGTCCTTGCACAACTGACACTTTTTTTTTTTTTAATTGTTCTGGAGCACCTCAAAATGAAAATAAAGAAAAATTAATGAAAATTTGAACCTTGTAGAGAGTGAGCTTACCTGGTCATGAAAAATGTGGATAACTAAAACGAGAGTCACTTCTGTCAGGACCAGGAGTAACAGGATCAAAAAGAACTGCAGAGACGATAAGAGCAGTTGGAGGGTGAAGCGATTCATTCAAGGGTGGCTTACCCCACTAATATGTTTTCACACTAAGATTAGAATTTCTCAACATAAGGTACCTTTATTACATGTGGATGAAGTCTTACCGTAAACAATAGACAACGCTGCTCCTTAAGCGCTCCAAGACAACCCAGAAAGCCTGTTATCATAGTAATACCACCAGCAACTAGCAGCAGATTGGCAGCTGAGAGAGACGGAAATGAAAGTGGAAGAGAGGAAAACTCTGACTGCGTGAAGGACAGCCAGACTCCAACTCCAAACAGGCCACATCCTCCTAGCTTCTCAGAAAATGTAATGTTAACACAGCCAAAATTTAGTACAGAGTGGAACACAGTGTGAGTGAATGAATGCAGCATACAACACTAAATTGGTAGAGACCACAAAGAAATCTTAAATTAAACACAAAGCCAACTTAGAAATCAAATAAAAATTCTGCAAATACTAACCCAGAAGATGAGATTAAAGACAAACATCAAATACTTGACAACACATAAACAGCCCTGTGACACTGGCATCCTGGAAAAGAGAGAAGGAAATAGGACAAAGAGAGATCTTTTAACAATATTTGTCCGATCAATTTTAGTTATTTGTTTTTTTTAGCCTTTGTGAAATATCCAGTACATTGTTTTGTTCTGAAAAACATAGTTAAATATAAATTAATAATCTTTCATGGTTTGTTGTGCTGTGCTTTGGGTGTCTTATAAAATGTTGAGGGATCTGTGTCAAAAGAGTAAGTTAAGTTTGGCACACTTTCTATGTCTAACCAACAGTGCTGAAGCCATTCAGAATACTATCCTTAAAAAGCAAAATATTTTGTGAAAGCCTGTTCCACCTCTGCTAACTTTCTATCATAGAGTTCTGCTCAGACCACTTGCACTCATCCGTCTCCCAAAAAGAAACAAAAATCTAATGCATTATTGGGGGAAAAAGCTGAAATAAAAAGAGTTGAAGAGTGAAAGATTGTGAATGTGTATTTAAAAATCTGTTTCTTTTTCACTACACTGTCAACATACCCAGGTAGAAAAATTTGCTTAATAAATTATGAGCCCTACTCCGGCCCACCAAAAAGTACTTGAAGATCCCATCACAACATCTAAAGAACCTGCCTCATTTAAGATCAGTGTTTAGGACTCGGTTAACAGCTGGGCAAAATGTGGCCTCCACGAGAGAGTTCCTATGGCAAAAACTACTGATGGTAAAGGACCAAAAAAGGCTTGTCTCACATTTGCCAAAAAATCTCTCTCTATATATAAAATATCTTTAAATATCTGTCTTTTTAATGACTCACTTCAATTTTATTTTTCCAAATCACAACAGTTGCTTGAAGGGTCTTTGTATTGTAAGCCAAGGCCTCTACAGTAATACAGAGAACAGAGAGTATCAGATGGCCCCCTATGAGCAAATACTTTGGCAATAGTGGGAACAGGTGAGGGGAGGAAGACAGGACAAAGGACACTCTGCAGAAGAGACCCGGAGATTAATAACTTTCCATCCATCCTCTTATCTAAGGATTATAATTTTGCTATATGGTTTTGATCATTTTGTCTACTTATCCATTCAGACAAGGCACAGGGGTGGTAGTGGGAACCTGTAACAACTGTCCGTCGATGTAACAGTTATCCATGACAAGAGAGGCGTGTTTGCCCTTCTGTCTGTGTCGTTTTAGAATGGGCAAAATTGCTTTACGTCTGTTGTTGATTTCCCTAGGAAACTAGCCGTTCATACCATAAGACATTCCTTTTAATTCACACCGTTTGCTTTTAACAAGTTCTTTAAACTGGAAATGTTCAAACTTAGCAATGATAAGATCAGGCTCTGAGACGAGACTGCATGAAGTTTCTAATCCACGTTTCGGCCGGGATTCCAGAGAAAATCAATGTCTCGCATACGTCTTGTTTACATGTCGTGAATGTGTTTTAGGGATTTATTGTCTGCGTTTAGAGTTAATAGCTTTTGTTTGTGGACTTGCGTATCTGAATGTTGGTTGTGAGTAGGTCCTCTGTATCTGTTATATTTATGTTGGTCCGGGGGATTTCTCCGTGACGTGCTGCTCAAAATATCCGTGGAGGAACCTTCGAGTTCCTCCATTCTGCGTGGTGATATCGTTAGTGGTTGTATGTTTGATTTAAATTTGCTGACAGATGTTTGTTTAAATTAAAGTCATAATTTCACTAGTTTAGAGTATAATCTGGCAGCCGGCGCAGCAGTTTTGTAAATCTCAAACCTCGCAATTTCACAGCATCACGCGCTCTTTATCTTATCTTATTTGCTCCCCTCCCCTAACTTCTACTTATGCCATAATGGCTCACCGTAGCAGGTAGTTTTGATTTGGCAGGGTTTACCACTGGATGCTTTTTCTGACGGAACCTCAGAGGGGACTTGCGTTTCTGGCTGGTATCGAGCATACCAGAGCATTGGAACACTTTTTAACAATACTTGAAAGGTTCTTGAATTTGACTTGCTTGAAACCCAACTTTAGTGGGAAAGTCTTCATTTATAAACACTTAGATTGTGCCATGGACTACTGACTCCACACAGGAAGTTTCCGACAGGAAGGAAGTTCCCTCCCCTACTCACTAGACCCAGTTACAATACTCAAGTTATTTTACATGCCTTTGTGAGTCACAGAGCCCAAGGCCCAGATTTGGTTTTTATTTTATAACAACACAAAATTCAGAGGAAACCATGTTGCAGTGATTAGTGTGGGGAATGAGCTGGAAAACAGACTAACCCAAAGTTATCTGAAAAAAATATCCAGGATGCTTCAAATGTAGCTATGGTACTTAGGAATTCAAACTGTCAAAGAAATTTATATGAAGTAATATAAGATTTTTTGTTAATAAGTAGCTAATATGACATAAGCAATGACTCAAGACTATTTCTTTGTCCCTTGAGTGTTGCATGTTTACTTGTGTGTGCAAACTGAAAATTAGTAGGTCTTCTTTTATTGCTGATTTATTGTGATTTCTGATTTTAATTAATTTGTCACCACTGATCCACACCCACTGCCATTATCATTATTAATAATGATATATTAAATCTTGCAACACAAATTTGCAAAATATGGGGCAAATATTTATAACAGTATCTTACATTCCTGACTGCATTTCTTACCTTTGTTTTAGCACCTGATTTTCCCGGGTCACAACAGTCTGATCAATGGATCATTAATTTGTGTGTAGGAGATTTGGGGAAATCTGCACATAATTTATTTTTGCAAGTTCACAGAACAGACATAAAAACGTGTGATGGAAGATGAAGCCCTCAAACTTAATCATAAGATTTAAATAAAAAATACAGAGAAATTATTATCTCAGATAATGAGATTTTCATTGAGTACAATTTGTTTAGTCTGCCAAAACTTATGCATATTAATAAAAGTAATACCTTCATATAAGGCACTTGACACATTATGTAATTTTTCTTGTCAGGCTAGTCCCACCCTGGCCTATTTTCAGCAAAAATGTTGCAAAGAAGTATATCCATCTGATAGAAAAAGTGGTTTCTACCAATTTTCTATTGGTAGAACACAGAAACATATCCCGTCTCTCTGTTTTTTTTTTTTTTTTTTTAGAGTTTAAGAGTTACCAGCTGTGTCCAAAAGCAGAATAGCTTCATGAAAGCAAAAATGTTTGGCACATTTATTTTAAAAATATTTTAAACATTATCAAGATCCAAAAATACAGTTCAATTGTCTCATTTATCCTCGAGCTCTTCACTCCTATCCTCAACACAGCCATCTTTATCCCTTTATGTCTTTAAATAAGTGAAAATCTTGAAGGTAAGAGGGGGAAGCAAACACCAAAATAGAGTTTTAAAATATAGGGAGGGACATACTGTATCTAAGTAATACTTCTGATAGTGTAGCATTTCTGTACATACTTTACCTTAGCATGTGGTTCAAATCTTCAAAGTCTCTGGTCTTTGTGACGCTCCTGTTCCAGGCTCCTTCAGCTCCTGACTTGGATCTTTACTTGGTTTTCCTTTTCAGATGTCTTTCCTAGAGCAAACAGCCTTTTCAGTTTGTTTTCTGGATCTTCTCTTCTCTTCTCTTCTCTTCTCTAGACCATGTTAATGTTCATTTTTCATGCTCCTCTGTAGGACTTTAAAATTTTCATATTAAAGTTCTTTATACCGCTCTTTTGTTCCTTTTTTTCTAACAGACCTTCGTCTATGTCTGTCCCACTCTTTCACTTCCTCTCTGTTTCTCCCTTCCTCTCTCCCTGTTTCCAGATGGTTGTGGACTGCGCTCTGTGTCCCTCCCCCTTCACAGTTTATCACATTACTTACCCCTCCTCCAGGCCACAGCCTCTAAAGTCTAATGTGGCCTGCTTATTCTGTCTTTTTTTTCTCGGTTTAAGAAAAGTTTTTGTCACTACACATTTAAGAACACTTAGGTACAAACAAAATATCCTGAGCAAGTTGCTTTACTTCAGATAACTGCAGACATGTCTAAACATAAAGGATTTCTGACAAAAGATCCATTTTCTTTGTTTTTCACATGTCACTCCTGAGTATTTCGGTTCCTCTGTTGCTCTTCAGGTGATATTACATATTTCTTGTTATTGTCAAGCTATGAACAGTAAATAATGTACTTGCATTTATATAGTGCTTTTCTCATCTTACTGTCTCAAAACATACAAATCACATGTTTACCATACATTTATACAACAGTTTGTTCTATAGTGGGAAAAAGCTGGAGTACCCAGAGGAAATGGACACTAGAATCCATCCAGTCCCCAGTCAAGTTATGAATCAGGACCTTCTTGCTGTGAGGTCGGGGCAATGCTAAAATCCTGAGTCTGCAGACTCAGCAAAATGAATGACATATTTACTGCAGAGATAGACATGTACACAAGACCAACTAATCATCACATGATTCAGTAAAAGCACTAGCTGTTAGAATCCCTGACAATGCATTGCTTTAAATGGAGAAAATCTTGGGGGATGGCTGTTATGAGGAAAAGCAGCCCAGAAACTACCAGCGGCACACAACGTTGTGTGCCTTAACTTTTGTTCTTTTACTCAAGTTAATCTGTCATTTTTCCTTGGTTAAGTTTAGGGATTAAAGATCTAATCTAAATTATAATATTAAAATTTGGGACATATCGTCAGTAGTGGACCTTGGATTCATCGGATGTTTCGGCCATTATCACTAGACACCCTAATCCTAGGAGGCCCTCCCAGGGTTGATCAGAAGTGTGTCACTGGTTTATGTTAAAATTGTCATTTCTCTTCTCCTTTCTGCTGTTTAGTTTTCTACAGTTTATTCTATCTATTCACTGCACCTGAGAAATGCTTACCTCTTTAACATTTCTGGAGCCTCATTTTTTTAAAGGGACAGAAAAGGTGATAGAGAGAAGTAAGACAAGTAAGTAAGATATGCTTCCAACACCTCGCCAGATTGGGCTGTACGCTCTACCTCCCCACTGTCTCCCAGAAGAGGGAAGAAGAGCAGTGGGAAGAAGAGCAGCGGGGAGAAGAGCGGAATACTTTTCTATTATTATTATTATTTCATTCCTCCTTTTAGTTTCACTACCATGAGATTAAAGTGGAATAAAATATTAATATATAAAAATTTTATAGCACTTTTTTGGGCGTGGTCGATTTGTGGCTCTAGGTCCGATAGTGTATGCATTTTTCTAGGACCCTCCAGGGGTTAACTGCACAGTCTCCAGGAGGCTCTGAGACAGCTCTAGAGGCTTCAACAGTACACCAGGGCCAGTGCGGCTTGCTGAGGATATCTTGACCACAACAAGAGCCTGCGTTGCTTCCCGAGACCATCTTCACAACACCAGGACCTGTGCTGCTGGCAGAGGCAATCTACACAACAGCAACACCTGTGCTTTTGGGCAAGGCCACCTGCAGCACACCAGGCCCTGTACTGTTGGGTAAGGCCATCTCCATCACGCCAAGGCCTGTGCTGTTGGCTGAAGCCATCTACATTACGCCAGGGCCTGTGTTGCTGGCTGAGGCATCAACAGTACACCAGGGCCTGTGTGGCTCGCTAAGGATATCTTGACCACAAGAGAGAGCCTGTTTTGTTTCCCAAGGCCATCTTCACAAAACCAGGGCCTATGCTGCTGACTGAGGCCATCTACGCCAAAGGAGCACCTGTGCTGCTGGCTGAGGGCACAGGTGCTCTTAAGATAAGATAAGATAAGATAAGATAAGATAAGACTTTATTGATCCCACAACGAGGAAATTTTTGCGTCACCTCAGTTCAGGTACAGATATCAGAAGGAAATAAAAAATACAAATAAGTACAATCAATGAAAAAAAGTAAGATAATAGACTATATACAATGGTAGCATACACAGTATGTGATTATGGATATAGTTGGAAATATGGAAGACATAAACTATATAGCTTGACATAACTATTGTACCACTACTATTCCTGTTTATAGACATGTACACACACACATGTACACACTAAATATACATACGTATACATATACATACATACACTGAACAAAAATATAAACGCAACACCTTTGTTACTGCTCCCATTCCCCATGGGATGGACGTAGAGACCTAAAATTCATTCCAGATACACAATATAACCAT